CCATGAATGGTCTGATCCCCTGAGTTTCTCGAATAGAAACTTTAATGTTGTTCCATTCTTTTGAAAGAGCTCTCAGCAGCTTGTTCACCTTCATAAGTTCTGAGATGGGATTGTTTTGGAATTTAAGCCCATTTACTATCTCAGTGAATCTGCTTTGCATCTCAGAGATTGTTTCATTTGATTTCTGAGTGAAGGACTCGTATTGCCTAAGGAGAATGTTGAGATTTGTCTCCTTGACTCTCTCTGTTCCTTCATGGACAAGCTTGAGACGATCCTAAATTTCTTTGGCAGTTTTGAGATTTACAATTCGTTTGTATTCAACACTTGCTAAACCATTGTATATGGCCGTTCTGATCTTTGCATCCAGATGGATTCTTCTGGAAATTTCCTTAGCCGAGAGAGGTAAAGCTTGAGGTCTAATTTGCTCTCTGTTGACACCTAAATTTTGCCCAAATCATTTAGGGTTTTATCGCATAAAAATTAGGGTTTAATTTTTAACCCCTAAGCCAAAAATATTTTCATTAAATTGCATGGCACATAGACATTAGGTGCATTTGCATTAACGGGATCGATTGGGACATATTTTACTTAAATTTCAAAAAAAAAAACAAAGGATTTTCGGGCTGAGTTAGTTGGCCCATCCTTTTTCTCCCGTTTTTTTTTTCGTGTGGCCCATCTAGTTTCTTCCTTCTTTTTTTTATTTTATTTTATTTTCCACGCGGGCCGGCCCATTCCTCTCGGGCCCGGCCCGTGCACTGTTCAAACCTCCCCCCAGTCAACATTTCTGAGCGTATGGGGGGGAGAAGACCGGAACAGTGGCAGAACGCCACAGCCACAGAGCACAGAAGCCAGAGGGGCATGGGGGACGTCGGAGCGATCCTTGGGTCGGGGGCAGGCTGGCCATGGCAGGCTGACGATGGCAGGGGCCATGCGCGCCTGCCGGCCGGCTCCGCGCCCCTGGCCGTCCTTAAATCCGACGAGAGAGAGAGAGAAATCGGGGAGAGCAGAGAGCTAGGGGCGAGAGAGCCGAGAGAGAGTCCGGAGAGCGAGATCGAAGGCGAACGGTCCCCGGTCGGTGACCGCCGCGCGTCAGCCGCGGTCGACGAACCCCCTTTCACGGTAGGTCCTGACCCCAAGTTCTCGTTGGGTCTCGTTTCGTGCGATTCGGGGCCGATCTCCCGAGGATTTCGGCTCGGTGGCGTGCGAGGCGACCGGACGTAGTCCGATCTATCTCACTCGCCCTCGTTCGCCGCCGCCGAGCCGGATAGGGAGTGCCGTAACGGCCACCCCCTTCCCCTGCTGTTCCTCTGTTTTCCGGCTCACTGGCCGGAGCTCGCGCGGCTGTCCGGCCCGCACGAGTTCCGACCTGTGATGCCTCGTGCGTGATATTTCCTGTCTATGGTTCGTTTTGTGTGATTTTCCAGTGCATTTGAGCCTCGATCGAGCCTCGGATCCCTCATTTTCGCAGCGCACGCCACCTGTTTGTTAAAATACCCTAAGTGTTGTCTGCTGTGTTTGGCTGGTAGAAGGGAGTCGAGCGGCGACCGGACATGGGTCCGGTAGCGGGAGGACGGCGCCCGGCCATGTAGGCTGAGCGGCAGCCGATCAAGGGCTCGGCCGCACGACTGCAAGCCCCGACCGCGGAGGTCAGGGCATGCCGAGACGCAGCCGAGCAGGGGCTCGGCCGCACGATCGAAAACCCCGGCCGCGAAGGCTGGGGTTCGGAGGGGGCCGGCGCTCCAGCAGGCCAACGGAGACGAGCCACGTCGGGCGGCGGCAACGGACGCGGCGTCGGGCGGCAGCTGTGGAAGGCGAGGCCCTAGGCGCGGGGCGGCGGCCGTAGTTCCGAATCGGGTGCGGGTCGCGAACCGTTCTCACGGTCGGGTCGGGTTCACGGGTTACAACCGGGTAGGTTTTTGTTAGTATTTGGGCCGATTTTATGTCTATTTGGTGTTTTAATGTTTTGGGCCTTTTAGTTATTAGAGTGGGTTTTATTAGGTCTTGGGCCTTTCGCGGGTGGGCCGAAATTGGGATTTGGGCTAAATTGTTTTGTTTTGTCTTTTTATTTTCAGTGGGCTTTGGGCCTTTATTGTTTTTTTTAAATAAAAAAAAATTTCGGGCTGGGCCCTTTTTCTTTCTTTTAATTTGCCAGACCGGGCTCAATGAATGAACCCGGTCCGGTCGTGGACCCGGGCCGGCGCGCCCTGGTCAGTCCCGATCCGGGTCGAATGCGGAGATCCGACCCGGTCTGTTTTATATTATTTTATTATTTTAATATTTAAAAAAAATTTAAAAAATTATTTTTTTAAAAAAAAATTAATTAAAAAAATTCGAAAAATCAGAAAATTTATTTGGACTTTGGAATTAGCTTTTCTTGCCCTTTTCGCATGATTAGTGTCATTTTTTATTGCATGTTGCTTGTTTCATACACTTTGAATTGTGCGTTTAACTTAACTTCGCATGTGGGCGATTATGCATGTTAGGTTTAGATATTGATTGTTACTTCCCTTTAGCCTAGTTAGGAATGGAATTTTGAAACTCCCGATTAGTGTGAACACGTTAGGTGGTGAATTGAACAGGATTAGGTACCGAAAGGGCACCAATTAGTCAATTAGTGTAATCAAGTCTCCGTACCCATTGAATCTCTGGTTCGTAGAAGTAAAGCATTCCTCCCGTGCTTTACTTGGGTGTCTAATCGACCCACCAAAAATCGATTAGTGGCGATTCCTAGATGAAATTGATTTGCATGTTAACAACTTAAACTTAAGTTGCGAATTGGTATGGGCTTGGGAGAGCTCGAGCTAGGTTTAACTTAGTAATCCATTAACTAAACCCCTTAGGCGGCGGGGCCGGTTCGGGGAGGTCGCGACACTCTATAACTCCTTCAGAAGAGGTTTCTCATTTTGCCCTTTTGAAGTTTCTAGGGATTTTGTTTCGTTTGGAATGATTCCATGTTCAACGATATCCCATATGTCTTGGTCTATTCCCAATATGAATGTCTTCATCTTGTTTTCCCAGACACTGTACTCAGTTCCATTGAAGTAAGGCGGTCTGTTGTTGTGACCTCACTCAGCATTACTAGCCATCAAGAATCGTTAGCTCAGAAGTAAAATAACACTTTAAGGAAAAATGAGCACTAGGCTCTGATACCAATTGTTAGGGCTAGTGCTATCACCTAGAGGGGGTGAATAGGTGATTTTACCAAAATTGTATGATTTAAACGTGCGGAATGAATATAGTCTAGGTCAATAACTCATATGATTAGTATCAAATGGATTTATATAACAAACTTGTGTATAAATTGTTGTCAGATGATTGCGTCTGATGACTATGACGATAATCTGACGAACTTGTTTGATAGATATGTATACAGTATAATGTCAGCAATAATAAATAAAAGTTTAGGGATAGAGAATACTGCACACAGATCTTTATAGAGGTATGGCTTTATTGAGCCTACGTCGACTCTCCACGCTGATAGCCTGTTGGCTGTATTTCACTATTGAATCACCAGAAGATTACAAGAGCTGTGCTTCTCAGATGATAGATAACACTATCACGTACACTCTTCACTCAACTAATTTTCTTTCTAAAAAAACAAAACGTGGAAAACAATAATCACAAGTGTGTAAGATTGAAGCTCTATTCAAATTTTGGAATTCTCGATTCTGGTTCTTATCTCTTGTACGACGTTTGCACTCCTTTTATACTCCTCTACTTCCAATCTATCCGTTGGACAGTCTTTAGAGGATTGATCTCCAAATCAACCCGTTGGAGATTCTTCCCAAAATAGGATGCATAGCCGTTAGAAGAAGAACCATTATCTCCGAGTGATTTGATCACCCATACAATCAAATCAAGGTTTCCATAAGTATAGTTCTTCGTATTTGAGGAACGATCTTATGATTACCAATTAGAATATCTTAAAATATCAATTTGATTATCCTGCATAAACATGCCAAAAATATCACTTATTGAATCTGACGAGTAATTTTGAGTCTGATGACAAAGTCCTCTCATCGACTAAGTCTTATGACTCAACATTTACCTGCATCAAATAACTTAAGTGTAATTCTGGTTAGTAATAGATTGTTTTGTCATTCCTCAAAACTCATTAGGGATTTTGCTCAACACTTAAGGTGCCTTTATTCAAGGGAGAGAAATAATAATTTTTGGGTAGTGTGGCCCAAAAATAAAATCCATCATGCTTTTTACCAAGCCCATTAGTTTTTCAGTCGAAAGGGCTTGAAAGAAACAGACGTTAGAATAAAAAAGGATTCAATAGGAGTTGTCTTCACAAAGTTTGGAGACAGAAATGAGATCGAATTGAAATTTTGGAATGAGGAGGACATTTTTTAGTGTCATGAATGGACTTAGATGGACGTTTCCGCTTTTAGTGACAAAGGTGTCACTTCCATTTGGATGACGGACTGAACTGTTATGGGAGGATTTATGAATATGGGAAAGAAAATGTCCATTGCAGATTATATGATCATTAGCACCTGAATCAATAATCCATGCTTCAGTTGAAATAGAGCTCATTAAGCAAACGGATATACCTGCGTAAGTGGCGGTTTTGTCTTGGGTGCTTAACTGGCTCAAGGCTTTCATAATTTGTTGGAATTGATGTGATTGATGGGCTGGTTAGTTCTGGCATTTGCTGCGACCGAAAAATCTTGATCTTTCCTTTCTTTGTCTCCTGGCTTCCTTTGTAATTTCCAATAATTTTCTTTGGTATGATAAAGATGTTTGCAATAATCGCAAAATTTACCTTTTCCTTTGTTGGATCTGGATGACGTGGCTGAATCTCGGCCATTGGATGCTTTCTACGCAGGTGCTGACGTGGCATTGTACACTCCGTCCGTTTTGGGTGCAAGCAAGATGAAAGATGGGTTGTCAGATTGCACTGCGAGCCCTGATTCGTCTGATCTTGTGATCAAATCTCAGCCACTCATCTGCATTAAGCCTCGGCTGCACCTTGGACCGTCCAACCTCGGGGACATGATTAAATCGTGTTCATCATCCTAAAAGAAGAGGTGAGGTCGTCTTCTTCGCTCGGGAACCCTAGGTCCATGCCTGAGAGAGCAAGACCTCCATGGCTGGACTTCTCCGCGGCTCGTCGCTGCTCCTACGTCACCTTTGCCGCAAGGACAACATGATCGCCAGCCTTCAAGTACTTCTTGGAGGTGAGATGTTGGGATTCCTCTTGTACATCGAGTTGATAAATTCGATTGAGTGAGGGTACGGGATACATGGCGAGGATTTGGCTCCGAAAAGTTAAATAGCTTTCGTTCAGTATGAGTGGAAATCTAGTTACCTTTTCCCGTTCCTTGATTGCTCGGTATTGAGCAAGGGTAGCTTCGGGTCCCTCAAACTTCTCCTTGGCTATTTCAAGTTTATTCCAGAGGGCCGACAATCGGTTGAAAATAGTGGTGATCGAGAGGTTTCCTAGTTTTAGCTTTGATAGGGCATAGGTTATCCCAAAAAATTTTGCCCAATCAAATCTGCCGTACATTTCTTTAATATTCTCCCAAATTTTCTTCGCGTCCTTAGTCGAGGGTAGTCCGGTGGCGACCTCTAGGGTGAGACAATTGTCAATCCACGTTCGGACGAGCTGGTTGCACTTCCTCCAATGTAGTACAAGCCGCTCGTTGGACGGAATCGACACTATTTTGTCAATAAATCCGTCCTTGTCTTTGGTGATTAGGGCACAACTGAGTTCTCAGGAACAAATGGAGTAATTTTCCGATCTCGAGAGTTGCTGCGCAATGAGGCGTAGTTTTGGGCCATCGGTGATGGAGGTGTACAGTGGCTCACCTGGTTTCAAGTAGCCGCTGGCAGTACCTGCAAAAGGAAAAAAAACCGGGGTTGTAAACTGGAGCTAGGTTTGCCCCAAAACCCTGGGGACCCGATCCGATTTGGTTCGGGAAATGTCAACCCGGTCCAGGAATCAAGTTGGGCTCGGTAATGGGATGTAGGCCTCCTCCTGGCCCAGTATTCTCCACAGAGCCTGTTGATGGGCTTGACATATTTGTCTGGCCCTAAATGGGCTGAACTTGGACAGGGACCCATTGGATGTTTGGGCCTGGAAAAAATTACACTGAATGGGCCTGGGCCGGATACTGTCTCAATTGTGCCTAAGTTGGATCTGGCCTTTGTTGAACCTGATCTACCTGTCTTTCCTATATTTGGTTTTCTTCGGTCACGCTGGATGTATCAATGCGTGGACCCGAAGGTGGATCATTGGGGGAATTATGTAATGTGCTAGATTTGGCGTTCTGATTTCTAGCCATCTTTTCTTGCAGGCTGAAGAATGGTGTGTGGAAGCTGGTTTAGAGCGTAAGGCTCTGATACCATGTAAAAATATGGCTTGATGGAAAGCTGGGCGGAGGAAAATTGGACAAAATGTGTATATTGCTTTATCATACTGAAAACTATATGAGTACATCCCTATTTATAATACATGGAGCCTAATTAATCCAGGAATGAAATATACAGAAAAATCAAGTGCCTGATGTACAGTATGCCAATACATTAATAAAGGGCAATCGTATCAATTTATGATATCAACAATATTTTCATCATATCAATTATGAGGCAAGGATATCTTCAGCAGTTGAAGCCAATCTCTTCTTCTTGACATCGGCATATTCATATAGTTAGAGTGACTTTTACGGGACCTCAAAATACGATATTCGGATAGATGGGGATGTTATGCTTTTGGAACACCCAAAAAATCTTTCGGATGTATGGGTTTAAGCACATTTATGACGACATTAGATGAGCTTCACCTGCTTCTAAAAATCTAAATCTGGTATACCCGTGCCGCATTTACCACCAAATTAATTTTTGTGTCATAAAAAATCTCAAACTAATACATCCGTGCCAGATTTACTCCAAACTAGTATATCTAGTCACATTAAACCCAATATTTAAGATATTTTTTGACACAAAAATTAGTTAGGAGTAAATGTGGCATGGGTGTGCTAGTTTAGAGTTTTTTGTGATTGAACAAATGTGGCACAAGTGTACTAGTTTGAGAATTTTTAGTGGTATTAATTTTTTTTTTCGGTGAGGGAGGGGGATTGTGTGGGAACCTTTTTGTTTTTTAGACTTTTGTTCATTCTTTATGAAAGAGTTACTGCCACTTTGTTCTCCTATTATAGGTATAAAATATTGATCGAAAATCCTTAAAGGCTTAAACTTGCACAACGATTGCGACATAACATACCTAATGGAAAAATAAATAAATGAAACAGAAAGTGACTTAACATACCTAATTAACAATGAATTTAGTGTTGCATCTTCAAGGTCAGAGGAAGCATGTTTTGCCGCATGTTTCACATTTTTTGTCCTTTTTCCCGTGTCTGGAAATTCTTATTAGAATACTCCTCAATATATTAAAATCAATTTAATAAACTAGTTCACAAGGGAAGCGATAGACTTTTATAAAATGTTAAATGTAATTTTAAAGAGCCTTTTCCTTTATTTACCAAATTCTTGACTATTTTTACCATTTGTCAACGAAATAATAGAATTGAGGAGTGGGGATTGAAGCAAACATAATTTAACTTTTGAGTAATTATAGCATACACCGGAAGTGTAAAAAAAATTGCACTAGCAGCTATATACACCATTGAATGAAGAGAGTGGTTAGTTATGATCCTCCAATTAAGGATAGATGAGCCTACTTGTGTAAAATTTTCTTTGCAATGGCGGTGTATTCCCCTCCCGTTTTTTGATATCCCAAACAGAGCCTGAAGTCGCACCTTCCACCAGCTGTCAATGGATCATTGCCATATATTAGATAGAAGTCGATTCTCCCCCCGGTAAAGAATAAAAATCATCCCGTTCAATAAATTTTTTAGCTGGCTAGGGGGCAAACTACCAAAAAATTCTTAAATCTATTACATTTGTATCAATTCATTTCTAAATTTTTTTTCAATTTGACCAATTCAATACTAAATCTTTTGATAATTTGTCAATTTAATCATTCCGGCCAATTTTTGGCCGAAAATTGCTAATGTGTACGTCTGCCGTCCTACGTGGCACAGCTGGCGCCGGAACTTCTTTTAAAACAAAACGTCATGCGTGAAGATATAAATTTATTGTGTTCTTGAATGGGATAAGATCAACACTCTTTAGGAAGATTACATAAGATGCTAGCGCATTAATTAATTAGGAGGAATTATCATAATTTTGTCGATGATTATACGCTCTTGCAGGCATGTGTCATGGACCGTGATTCTCCTATACTCTCGTACCTTTGTGAGTGGAGCTTGGTGGCATCGTAGTGAAGCGTGAGTGATGCAGAGGGGATGATACAACTGGTTCGTGGGAGTTGCGTTAGGGTGGTCTGTGTTGGGAGTTATAGGTTAGAATATACTCTTAGGAGCTCTGAAGACAGGGTTGACCTTCTGTGCACAAACTAGTCGGGAGCCGATGCCACTTTCCTGATAAGGCCATGACAAGCAGAAATCAATTGTTGTGCTTAAAGTGTTATGTGTGTCTCGCTCAAATGACTAGATGCCCGAGTTAAATTAGGCGTGATGCGATCCGATACGAGTACGTTATTCGACGTACTGTTATTTGGAACAACTATCGAAGGAAGGCTGGCATGATGTTATCGGCTCGTCAAGTGCTGCACAGATTATTTCGTGATCAAGGAACCGTCGGCCCGTGATACATGGATGAAGGTTGGATGTCACTACCTGGTCGACCATGCGCTCGTTCATGGAGACTGTACGTGCACCATTTGGATACCATAGTGCTCGACCGTGTCAATGTCACCCGATCATTATATGTAATTGTGCATAGTAACGCGTCGCACATTCTTCTCATGCTGCCCAAGACAAACATGCACTTGCCCTTTCCTTCTATATCCACCATACATAATTTTGTGTCGACATGCATGAAGATTATAATGAAAAAAATATAAATATAAATGAGCAACTGTCACTTACATCTTTTCACCATCCGCGCATGAAAATATTTTCTATTATGCATAGAATAAATCAAAAAAGTCCCTTCGTTGTTAGCTTTTGTATTTCTATAGTTTACACGGTTTGCACACGCTATATGAGATGATGTCATCTATGCCCTTCAATGTAATGAATATGTCTGTCATTAATTCGATAAATGAATTTTCATCTCATTCTAAACTAAACTTGATGTGAAAATGTGATTTATCTTTGGGATATGTTCACTAGAAGTCTTAAAACTCGTTGCGAAAGTGCAATTGAGTCCTAAAACTTTCAAAAAGTACAATCAAGTCTTAAAACTTGTCACATTGGTTCAATCAAGTCCTAAAGTTAACACCGTCAATTTGTCCAACGGAAAATGCTGACTTTGCATTTTTAAATGAATTAATCTCTCCTACGTGGCATTTTATTATTTTTATTCAAATCTTAAAAACTAAAAAGGCTAAAAATTAGAAAAAAAGAACTGAAAAAAAAAAAAGAGAGATGGGTAGCGACCTCCGCTGGCCCCTCCGGTGATGGGCAGCGGCCGCAACAACTCCCACCTGCGAGCCCCAGTAGTTTTTTCATTATTTTTAGGTAAATTTTAGATTTTTTAGTTTTTAATTTAATTTAAATAAAATTTGAATAAAAAAATAGTAAAATGCCACGTAGGAGAGAGAAATTCATTTAAAAATGCCACGTCAGCATTTTCGGTTAAACAAATTGACAATGTTAACTTTAGGATTTGATTGAATCAATTTGACAAGTTTGAGAACTTGATTGTATTTTTTGAAAGTTTTAGAATTCAATTACACTTTCGTTACAAGTTTTTGGACTTCTAGTGAACATATCCCTTTATCTTTTGCAGAAGCATGTAACTTTTTGTTACCACCAAGATTGTAGCTCGGCACGATAGGCCCAAATAGTTTCCCTTCAAGTGTTTAGATTTCCGAATTTCTAGGAGTCTAGGAATTGAATTCTATGTCATCCCACATTGAAGGGGGCTCAACTCATATGTGCGGTTGGCATACTTCGATGTGGTCACGGTGATAGGCAGACCCGTCTTAGGAAGACCTCTTCGAAGGTCAGTCCATGGCTCGGTCGCACACGGTTTGGTGGGATGACTCGATGGCCGATTTCATGGATCCATAACTCGAACATTCTGTGCCAGAGTGTGAAGGTTCTATAATAGCGTCCGGCGAGGAAGCTAAGCCGATCGCCCCTTCTCACCGTTTATTTTCTCATAGTAAGGTCTCGATAGTGATTCGGGCACAAGTGACGATAGCATTCTATTTATGGAGAGAGTTGTTAATGCTGGAAAAAGCTTCCACGTGGGCAATCATGACGTGATGGGAAGGAAAGTGTGAGTAAATTGTTGGTCATGTGGAAGAGTGCTGTGGACCTAGGGTTTATATCCTTTAGCTCACCATATAAGGTCACCATCCGAAGGCGTTTTTCACATTTCATTTCTTTCCCCCTCCTTCAACCGCGGATTGGCTAAAAAGGCAAACATTCCCCTTTTTCTTGGGACATGGCAAGTTTGGAAGAACCAAAGTAGGAGTTAAATAAACCGAGTGCAATGTACCTCCTCAAACGAGAAGGGATTCTTCTTCCCTTGTCAAAGATGCGGAAAAGAAGTCGGATAGTTTGATGTCAACTTGTCACGACATGACCAAGTCGGATACTATGACTTTAGAAGAGAAGAACAATCTTGATTATGTGGGTAGGTTGTCCTTGGCAAAAGAAATTGTTAAGATGACAAGCATATTGAGGAAGGAGTTTAGTATATGATCAGAAGAAAGAGTCATATCTATCGAAATTTTCAATTGGTATGAGTTGGAATTGTATACCCTAATGGATAAACATCGCTATGGGGTTTGGTACTTTTAGAGCTAGGAAATGGAATCTCCATTTCAGCTTCTCAGCTTCCCCCTTTCCATGGTGATGTTTGACTTGCACTTTCTGGAAATAAATTAGCCTTCCTGAGTAGGAACTCCTCCTTTGGTGGGAAGGAATGTCAGGCTTGTTCCCATTTTTCTTCTAAATAAGTCCCTAATTTTACATGCACCCCTCTATCTCTCTATCTTAGAGTAGACATCTCGCCTCAGCACTGACACGATATTGTCCGCTCTAATCACGACTATTACTCAAAGTTTATCTATTAGGACAACAACATATATCAACGCGATAGAAGAAATAGACATATTTGAAACCCACATCCTCACCCCTAGCTTTGATACTACTATAGGCAACCCCACCTGGACGCTGGCACAATATGTCTGCTTTAGTCAAGGGTCACTCACAAGACTTTAATTAAAAACTCGGCATGTTAGTTTAAAGGTTGCTTGAGACTTATCTAATAGGTCAACATTTCATATCCATGCGATACGAGATAGGAGACATATTTGAAATGCCGGCATCTTCCACCCTGGCTTTGATACTATTGTAGTTAACATCACTCGGGCGCCATCATAATATGTTCGCTTTGGTCGCGGCTCAACTATCCTCGCAAGACTTTAATTAAATCACTTCACAGTAGTTTAGAGGTCTTGCGAGACTTATCTACGGGGACACCAACCATATCAAGGCAATATAGGACCAAACACATATTTAACTCTGATACTACTGTAGGTATTAGTATCACTCGGGTGCCAGCTTTGTCACATTCTTTTACAATAGGTCCACCAATCTTTTACATCAATTAGGATTGTCCGGATATTCGTCGGACGGTGAAGAGTAGACCCGTTCTCTTACCACATATTTGTCGTACCGTGAACATCATATTTGCCCACGATAAAACGTGATGGTCGGCGCACCCAAACCATGATTGGTGAAGCAATAAGCTGTCCTTCGGCCATGGGACATCTTATTTCGGTTCTTGGACGGCCGCTCTTATTCGAGCTGTCTCTTTGAATTTGGTGAGAGAATTGAAAGTTCTGGTCTGTGTTCGGAGTAGGAACTGGGGGAGAGAGGGAAGAGAAGTGCCAAAAGCGGAAACGTTCGAGAGAAGACAGAAGACACGGCATGGTATCATCCACACATTTCAGATGCACTGGGGCGAGAGGATCGCAGTCATCCACACATTTCAGATGTACTGTAGCTAGAAGATCGCAGCTATGTACCAGACGCGCAGAGTGTTAATACATACGATGAATCATTGAGGATTTGGGTGTTGGGGGCCAGTTTGAGAGAAGCTCCGGAGGGAACCGGAGGGAATTCGTGATGAATTGGAGTTCATTGCAAACAGGATTGGTCCTACATAATTACGTTCCTCCACACTGAGTGAAGACGGCAAAGATGTTATCGAAGCGCATGTCTTGACGGTGGTGTCTCAATGGGAAAATTATCAAAAAAATTATAAATCTATTATAATTATGTCCATTCAGTCATAAACTCCATTTTTTGCTAATTGAGTCCTAAATCTTTTGTATTTATGCTGATCCAATTCATCTGGCCAATTTTGGCCGAAAATCGTCGACATGGACATCGGCTGTCCTATGCAGCGCGACCAGAGCTCACGTAGACACTTTTAAATAATATTTTAATAATTTTTTGAATTATTTATTCTTTTCTTTTCTTTTCTTTTTCCTTTTTTCGTTTCTCTTTTCTTTCTCTTTTTTTTTCCTTCCCTTCTTCCTCTAACCGATTGCCGAGGCCCGGCAATTGGCCAAAGGCAAGCGCCAACGAGGTCGACCTCTCCGGCCACTAGTAAGGGCAAGCCTCGCCCACCCCTGGCGAGGCTCAACTTCGCCCTTGCCGGCCATAGATTTGTGGTTGCTTGAGGCAAGGCACTTCCATGCCCTTGGTGTCGGGGTTTGGCTTAGTCGATTTTTGGCCGCAAGTGAGAGGAGCTAGAGGGTAGTGAGTGAGAGGAGCTAGAGAACCACGAATGAGGAGGGAGGGAGCGGCCATATCCGTGAGCTCAAAACTCGAGCGACTATGGCTTGTAGCTTGAAAATCTAGTAGCCATGGTCGAAGTGAGAAGCTATAATCCCCATGGCCAACAACTCGAAGCTTTGGTGGCCCCGGTCGAGCTTAGAGTTCAAGCAGCTAGATCAAGCGAGGGCGAGCCTCGCCAAGAAAGGGAAAGAAAATAAAATAAAAAATTAATTAATTAATTAAAAAATATTAAAATACTATTTCAAAATGTCTACGTCAACGCTAGCTGTACCACATAGGATAACCGATGTCCATGTCAGTGATTCCTGGTCAAAATTGGCCGGATAGACAAAATTGACACAAATGCAAAAGATTTAGAACTCAATTGGTCAAAAAAAGATTTAGTATTGAATTGTCACAATTACAATAAGTTTAGGACTTTTTTGGTAATCCTACCGTATCTCAAATCTCGTGTCACAAAGTGCCCCCTTTAAGTTAAAAACGAGAATTTGTCTAATCAGTCTTAAACCTATTTACGGATGATAATCCAATCCTAAACTTTTCAATCTTGACTATGTAGTCCTAAACCTTTGTGAGTAATTACAATTCTAGGTAGGACGGCCGGTGATGACTGCATCGCTACATCAGCGATTTCTAGCGAGTTTCAGCGAAAATTGGTTGGGATGAGTGCATTGGATCTCGCGTAAAGGCTTAGGACTAAATTGACAAAATTGAAAAGTTTAAGACTAGAATGGTATCCGTACAATAGGTTTAGGATTGATTGGGCAATTTTTCCAAGATGCAAATTATATGCTTTGAAGATGTATATTTCTAAGTTTAACAATTTTCTTTAGGGCCACAATTCTATCTAAATTGCAGCATTATACCGCTCCATTATAAATAGGTGAATATTATCCGTACGAAGAACAAAAAGAATTACTATAAGATATGGCATTTAGTCACACCTCGTTATGCAATGAGATGGTCCTTGTTTGCACCACAAATTCACAAAAGAAAAAGGAAAGAGAGGAAAAAGATGGTGGCTCTGTCACTTTTCCCCTCTCTTCGATGTTCACATTGGTCGCCATCTTCTCAGCGAGCGATGGCTATCGTTTATCTAGCTTAGGAGATCCTCATATTGTGGCGCTTTGAAGCTTGGTTGTTGGAGTGGCTATGGCGTTTCTGTCGTATCGATGAAGACGAAGACGAAGATGAAGCCGGGGGATTTTTATGGGAAAGGACAGCTGATGGAGAAAGGGGTTTCTGAAAAATCTGAAACGCGGGCCTCGCCCGATGCCACACGTAACGATTAACGAGTGGAGAAAAATTACGGCTGACGTGGAGGTCTGGGACTATGAGATACTTTGGCCACTTCTTCTCTCTTTGGTTGTTCAAAGCGCCGGCCATGAAAGTCCTACTACGTAAGTACACAGTACGTCAGCCTCACTTCACTTCTGATGAATTCCTTACAGCTTCATAATTACTTCCACTCCATTTCCAACCTACAGATATGAGCAAAGCCCTGAATCGTGCACGTTATTGATCTTGCCTGCACGTTCGGAGACTGTTTCAGGCAATGCCTACTTATTATTCTTTGATATGATGATCTTAATCTATTGTGCTTTTTTCGTGCAAGTTATCGATCTTGCCTGCACGTTCGGAGACTGTTTCAGGAAATGCCTACTTATTATTCTTTGATATGATGATCTTAATCTATTGTGCTTCTTTTCATGGACAAACTCTTTGCTACAAAACATGCATATTCGTAGGTCGAAAATTTACATAACCCCGCCGGTCCCAAAAGCGCCAATAATCTCGAGCGATTTGAGCCATGGCATTCAAGCAAACGGCGAGCCGAATTTCCCAACACGAGATCTCAAGAATGTCTCGGGCCGACGAACCGATGCAACGGCATTATCCCAGAAAAGAAAAGCAGGATGCTTGCAAAATAATGTCTGCTCTAATTTCATCTCACTCCCAGCCAAAAATAGGTTGTCCCTGGTCTGGGATTTCCTTGACCTTGTGAAGGGAAATCTTCTTTTGATTTCCTCCTTCACTGTCGATGAATGTTGGCAATTGTTAAGGAAGGGAGATCCCTTCAAGTTCCACTATTTACACTCATGTCCACTGCTTGTGGTGATTATCGGTAATGCATGCTTAGCATCCTCTTGGCCGTTGACTTGAAAGGACACGTGGAGCTGACGAAGCCGTTCACGAGGTGGAGATACGTCTTGAGCTCGTGACACGTGGCCATGTTCCCTTCTCGGAGGTAGGGAGATTCCCTGCTGCTGAGCCGCAGCTCCTGCCCCACGTCAGCGTACACCCAGCGCGCGTCCTGCACGCTCTTCTGGAACCACCGTGGCATACCCGCTACGTGGATCGACCTTTCGTCCGCCGCCGACGTGTCGCCGTCCTCGACGACGAAGCCCGGGAGCCTGGTGACCAGATCGTCGGAGTTGACGATGCGGAGGATCTTGGTCCCGCTTTCCTCCAGGTGGCGCCGGAAGCTCCGGTTCCCCACGCGTGGCCCGCCGAAGGAGACGACTGTCACCATCGGCGCGCCCTCCAGGGTGGAGCTGATGTCGTAGGCAGCCAGCGTGGCGAGGGCCGCGCCGAGGCTGTGCCCCGTGATGGTCAGGCTGAGCGGCTCGTCACCGTAGGTCTCGACGATCCGCGCGATCTCCTCCCTTATCATCTCCCGTAGGCTCGGGAAGTTGGCGGTCCTGGAAGTGTATAGCCTCAAGAACCCGCTCTCCACCATTGGCGCGTCATCCTCGGTCCCGTCGTGATGGTCGTGGAGGCACGTCAGGGTGGCGCGCAGGTTCTCGATCCACTCGAGGCACGTGCCGGTGCCGCGGAGGGCGATCACCACGTCGCGCCTCCCGAGGCGCTGGATCTCCCTCCGGTCCTGGCAGACGGCCACGTAACCGATCCAGCTGGACCGGGTGGACATCCAGCCGGGAGCCAGCCCGGCCCAGCGCGGCAGCTGGACACCGCACGTGGCGCGCAGGTTCCTCGTGGGCCGGTACCCGGTCTCGGGGATGCCCGAGCGGGCCAGGAGCGAGCTCCGGGGGTACTTGCAGGTGCCGTAGGTCGGGGAGGAGGGGTCGAAGTCGAAGGAGCGGTAGGCTGCCTCCACGAACTCGCCGTAGCGGAGGATCTCGCGGCGGAGGGTGTCGTCGAGCGGGTCGAGGAGACCCTCCCAGTCGTCGCATCCCTGGTACTCCATCCACCTCTTGCCGATCTTAGCAGGTTGGAGACCGGCCACCCCGGCACAGTATTCGGCCCGGAACCGGGCGGTTCGGGAGGAGCCGGTCTTGCCGATTCGGACGATCGGTTTGCAAGTGACAGACCGAAGGCTGCACAAGTTCTCCGAGCTAGAGGGAGGAGCGAGCGAATTAGGAGTGCGTGCGAGAAGCCTCATGTTGGGATGGAGGAGGGTTCTTGCTGGTTTGAGATGGGGGGATGAGATGGTCATGGTCTTGGTGGGGGAAGTGAAGTGGAGGTTTTATAGTGGGGTGGGGGGGGATAGTGAGCCGAGCGCTCATGGGCAAGAAGAGTCAGAGCGCAAAACCGAGTAAAAGGAGAAGGAAATAGAGCAACAACAAAAATGTGGTTGGAGAAATTGGGGTGTGTGGACGGCAGGGAGTGAAGTCGAAGGAAGGAAGGAAGGAAGGAAGAGAGAGAGAGAGAAAGAGTGAGAATTTTCGCATAAAAAAAAAATGGACAAAGAGGAAGAGGATTTGGTCTGTTGGGTAATGATTTTCCGGACCCATGTAAAAATCTTAGTATGACTTTACAGTCCAGAGAAAGATCTGAGTGGAAATCTGCAAAACCGGCCCGAACATGGAACCGCTGGTACTCGATCGTACGGGGGGAGTCGACCTTTTGTACCGCGCTTCTGATTCGCACGCGAGAACGCGATGGATTGTCCTACCCGGCCCGGTGCTCTTCGTGGTATCTCAATGAATTTCAACCATTTGATATATATGAAAACAAGGCTTTTGACAGAGACGCATCAAAAGAAGCGATCTATAAGATCGGGGGTGTTCAAAACGAATCGCTCAAATCAGGAACTGTCCGAACTGGACCAGACTAGCCGGTTTGATCCGGTTCCCAGAAGTGTCGGTTTGGTTTCTAGAAGTGTCGGTCCGGTTCCCTATTCCTAAAAGTGGAATCGGTATTCGGGCGGTCCAGTTCCCGGTTCTAAAGGAAACCGGACCGACTACATATGACTTCTTTTTTTTAAAATTAGTAAAATGTAAACTAAACCCTAAGTAAAGTACGTTTTTTTGTTCATCTTTTCAATTTGAAAATCATTACCGAAGTTTTATCATTCATGGTTGCAAAATAATCCTTATATCTTGATGATTGGTGGCTTTAGTTTATTGTTTTCTATCTGCAATTTATAAATTTGCTTTTTAATTTTTGTTTATCGTAAAAGATATATGGCACATAGTTATGGTCCTTTTACTCATATTTTTTTTCTAAAAAAGTAGTGAGGAACACGAAGATATGACATTAAGTAGTGAAAAAAAAAAAAAAAGTGACCGGCTCCATTGGACCGGACTGGACCGGTATTAGGACCAACAGGTCCAGTTCCCGGTTCCCAATTGGGGTCGAAGATCTACGCCCGATGCGCATATGTCCATCTCCTTTCGCAAGACTAACATCACGTGACATACCGAAGTAGTGTCACGGTGCGATTATATGTTAATGATTTTCATCCATTTGATGCGAGGATGCTTAATTGGATGTGTTTTACCGTGGCGTAGGTCTATCCAAGCTGTGCAACCGTTGCCCAATAGGGGTTTTGTCCGAGATTGGTGGGGACAAGTAATTTCTTTCTTTCTATTTTAACTATGTTACAGAACAAAATCAAAGGATGTGATGATTAAAAGGAGGGTCCTTCCCACAAAGAACAAAATATCGATAGCGATGGGTTTGTCTTTCCGTCCCCAGGTCAGCACGTGGTCATGCTCGTGCGCGTTTTCCCGTTCTTCCTTCGGTTTTCGTTGACGGCAGTTGGGACCCCGATGGAGTCACGCTTGCAAATGTATCTTCAATCGAAAAATCATTTTTTTGGGTTAATATCACGAAAAATTTCAAGCTAATGTATGTATAATAAATTTACTCCAAATTAATATTTTAACCATCAAAAATCATAAACTTGTATACTTTTAACAAATTTACTCTCCGTTAATTTTCGTTAAATTTTACTGCCGAATTACAGAGTTAAATGACACGTGACAATTTTTAATTTGGGTTTTACCCGTTTGTGATTTTTCGTGATATTGATCCAATTTAACGAAAACTAACGGAGGGTAAATACGTCACAAATATATCAGTTTGGGATCTTTGGTGGTTAAATAATTAGTTTGGGATAAATTTGTTACGGGTATACCAGTTTGGAGTTTTTCGTGATCAAAAAATTAGTTTTTGGTAAATTTATCATAGGTGTACCAGTTTATGATTTTTTCGTGGTATTAACCTTTTTTTTTATGAACACTCCGACCCATGCGAGCCCATTTCATCTCAGCCATTATATGCTATAGTTCTCACGTGAGGCTTCGAGGCTTTGGCGGCTAGAGGCGGGTGGCGGTCGGCAGGGGTGGTGCAGCCTCAGTGGTAGATGACAGTGGGAAGAAGAGGACAAAGGAAGGAAGGTGAGAGAAAGATAAGAACACAAAAAATAGGTTTCCTGTCATTTAAAATCGCCAAGGCTAATGGATCAATAATGTAGATGTGACAAATTTAAATGTGCACCCTACATGTAAAGATTCACTATTTTAATAGGGAATATTACATAAAAAGCCATAAACGTTTAATACGAAATGTGATCAAGTCCTAAACATTTTAGAAAGTACAATCAAGTTTTAAACAATTTGAAATGTATGCGATCGAAACGTTTAAAACTTAATTATACTTCGTGCAAAACGTTTAGGACTTTAGGTGGAATCCTCCTGTTTTGTTGTTGTCGTTTTCTTGAAGATAGAATTGTGTCTTTCGACTCAATTTATTACCATGAATGCATTGCAAACCACCCCGTTTATTTACATAAGTAAACCTCTCCCGACAAAATGAGGCATGTAACCCTGTGATTCGGACACAAGATTTACCGCAAATGAAACAGTTAAGTACTCAATAGATCCCTTAGGAATTAAAAATAGAAAGTAGAGGAGTGCTGTTATCGTGAACTATATCTTTCTTACAATTTCTGGTGAGCATGATATCTAAGTATGGACATTCCTGTGTGAGTGTGGTGATGTTTTACTTTTTTTGCAATGTGCAAATTTTATTTAACTATAGTTACCCTTTGAGAGATATATCCAGGACAAAGCTATCGATTAACTTATGGATGCTAATTCAATCCCAAATTTTTCAATTTTGCCAATTTAGTCCTAAACATTTTGATAATTTGCCAATCCAGTCTTTCCAGCTAATTTTAACCGAAAATCGCTGATGTGGACAACGGTCATTCTACATGGCACGGACGGCGTTGACGTTAACGGTTTTTAATTTTTTTTCAAATTTTCTGAATTTTTTCTTTTGTTTTTTTTTTCTTTTCTTTCTTTTGTTCTTTTTTTTTTCCTTCTTCCTCCACCAGTCACTGCACGAAGCCTAGCCACTAGTGAGGACCGGCCTTGCCGACCTCTAGCCGAGGGTCGGCTGCTTTGCCGGCTGCATTGGGCAAGGGTGTTGCAGCCTTCTCTAGAGGCTGGCAAGGTCAACCCTCACCCAAGGGCTTGCGAGGTCGGCCATCGCCGAGGTCCGATAACCGGCGAAGGAATAAGGGAAAAAAAAAAGAAAAGAAAAAAGGAAAAAGAAAAAAATTGCAAAAATTATCCATGTCGGCACTGGCCTTCTTATGTGAAAGGATGGTCGGCGCTGACCTGAACCACCATTGTAGCCATTTTGGTTGGAAGGACATCATTGGCAAATCGTCCAAAAGTTTATGATTAATTTGGTAAAATTGAAAAGTTTATGACTGAATTGATATCCATACAAAAGTTTTAGGACTATTTTGGTGAATTGTCCCCACTTATAAGTAAGTGACTATGCCTTCTACTCTTTTTCATACATAATTTTTAATTGGTCATTTTACGTTAGTGTTTGTCTTCAACAAGACAACCCCAGAGAAAGCCCTACCATAATGATCCAGCAAGTGTTCTGTCTTCACATTAGAGGAGGAGGAAGTCTTCATCAACCAGGAATCGAGCGAAATAAGCCCTCTTTAAATAGTCATTTATCAATCATTCTTGAATACATCTTTGTAAATAACGGGTAGACATCGAATTGGAAATCTTAGGCTACACGTGCAGAAATGGAAATCGAGCAAAGCTTCACGAATATTTCGCTCCGGATAGAGTTCCGGAGATATATATTTAATTTACTTATTTATGTGCATAACTAGGCTAAGGAATAAGTTCTCCTCATCTCAATAATCATTTAATTATTAAGGGGGTGTGCGCATGAATTGATCCGGTGGCGATCAGCATTGGGTAGTCCCCTTCTTCATGGACTTTCTGGTCCTGCGAAGTTTCTGAGAACTTATCTTCAAATTATAAAAGAGAAAAAAAAATGGAACTTCGTGAATAATAATAATAAAAAAAATGAAGCTTTATGAAGAAAATAAAATAAAGAACAAACAGGTGGGCCACTGTGGAATAAAGTGGAAAAGTGACCGTTAAAAAGCAACCGGCTTTCCGACCATTGTAGAGCCCAGAAAAGAGAACTCTTAGATCCTTAAAACCTTATACGTTGTTCATTTCGGAAAGTATTCCGTGCCGTCCTTTCTCTGATCGCCTATCTCCCCCTTCTATAGTAACTAGAGATGCCAAGGAGTATGCATATAGAGTGACAGAAAGTGAGAAATATTATCCTTGCGCACCAGCTAAACTTCAAATAAACACATGAACTGGATAGAACCGATTCATGTGTTGGGGTGAGCATTGGTCCTGTGCCGTCCTCTACAAGTTGGGGTGAGCATTGGTCCAGGATAGAACTGAAAACCAGCCATAGGATCTGGTCCGATTTCAGGTTCCCACGGTTACCGGTCTAGTTCCTGGTTTTGAGAAAAGTTGAACCGGTACTATGCGATTCGGTTCCCATTTCTTGGGTGATAAACGAATTGGGAACTAAAGAACTGGACCGGGAACCGATGAACTGCGGTTACGTGTTTTCAACTTTTTATTGTTTATTTTATTTGACATGTTAATCTTTTATAAATTGTTGCTATTGACAAATGAGAATTTTTGTTGCTGTGTTCATTTTCATTTTGCTTAACTAAAAATGAAACAAAGAAAAAGGAAGAAAAAAAAGAAAAAGAAATTGGCCGGTTCCCAGGTAAACCCTAGACCCGTCCCTAAAACCAATTGACGGGGCATGTTACAAGTTTTTCCAGAGTATGCATGACAGATTTCAGGTTTGAAAAACTAGGGAACCGATTTCAACAGGTAGGTTCCAGGTGGAACTGGACAAATT